ACATTCATCAATTTTCAACCCTAAATTGGCTAAATTAGCTCAAAAATTAGGGATTTCAATCAAAAGAGGCAAATTCATCAACAAAGAGCATCAATAACATCAATTCAAGCCTCAATTAATCAAAAAGAAATCACAATTACAAAGATTCGAGCACATGCAAATTAGGACCTAAAAGCTTCAAACCATTAATGGTGGAAGAAGGAGAAGGGAAGAAGGAGAAGATTACCTTGGAGAAGAGAGTAGAGAGGACGAGGGAGGTCGGTCGGTGGTGCGGCGGTCGCGGCGGACGCGGCGGTCGCGGTGGTGGGTCGGCGGTGCTGCGGCTGGGTGGTCGTTGGCCTCGAGGAAGAAGAAGGATCGATGGGGGGGTTTGGTATTCTGGTCGCGTAAGGGGAAGGGGGGAGAAGGGCTGGGGTATTTTTTTAATTCGCGAGGGTAGTTAGGTAAAATTGCCCAGGCACGATCGTGCCTAGGCCAGACACGATCGTGTCTGGCAGGCAGTGGGCACGCTCCTCTCGCGTCCCAGGCACGATCGTGCCTCCAGCCGGACACGATCGTGCCTGGCTGGCAGTGGCCTCGCGTGTTTTCCCCTTTTGCAGGCACGATCGTGCCTCCAGCCAGACACGATCGTGCCTGGCTGGCAGTGGCCTCGCGTGTTTTCCCCTTTTGCAGGCACGATCGTGCCTGCCCAGGCACGACCGTGCCTGGCAAAAATCGAATTATTTTTTTTTTTTTTTTTTTTTTTTTGTGGGTTTTGTGGGTTTTCTGAAAAGCAGTAAAACTAAACTAACAAAGCACAAATTAAGCTCGGGTTGCCTCCCGAGAAGCGCTATTTTTAACGTCGTTTGCCCGACGCAACTACGCACTCAAAAACTCAATCAAAGACACTTCCGCTCAGAAAATTTGTCTTCCACAAATCAAACCTCTTATCAACAAATGCCCTGAGATGGCGTAAGACCTTAAATTCATGAAAACAATTACGCATCTCAGGGTTACCCGTAAAGCAACAGAATGGATCGTGGCCTTTATCAGGCCCTTTAGCAAAGAATGGGTCAAAGAATGGACAACTCCCTTTCATGTCAAAAATTTTCCGAGCTAGAGCTTCCCCTTGTTCGCTAAGTAAATTAAAACATGTGAAATTTTGGGATGGCTCAAGCTCGGGTGTAAAAATGACAGGGGGGTCAGGATTATCATCAATAAAATCATGCTCATTTAAATCACCTCTCGTCTCTTGCTCAGAACTAGCATCACTTGAATCCTCCCCTCCACTTATCATAAGACAATCAAAGCTAGGGAGGGGCTCAAGATCCTCTGCTGATATACTCTCTTCCAACAAAATATCAAACGGGGCTTCCTTGGAAAGCATGTTAGGTGTGCAATCCTCCACCATAGAATCAATATCATCCACATAAAAACACTCTCCACTGTCCTGACAGGGCCTCTTCATTATTTTGGACATATCAAAGGTGGCAGTCTCATCCCCAACACGGAGGACAAGCTTACCGTCTCCAACATCAATAAGCGCTCGGGCAGTTGCCAAGAATGGTCTGCCCAAAATTAAAGGTACCTCACGATCCTGATTCATGTCCAAAATAACGAAGTCTACAGGAATAATAAACTTGTCCACTTTAACCAACACGTCTTCAATAATACCTTTAGGATATTTGACTGAACGGTCAGCCAACTGAATACACATACGCGTTGGTTTAAGTGGACCGAGTGCAAGCTTCTCATACAAGGAATATGGCATCAAATTAATGCTTGCACCCAAATCAGCTAAGGCCCTATCAAAAGTAAGATCTCCTATTAAACAAGGTATAGTGAAAGAACCTGGATCCTTAAGCTTCTCTGGTAGATCCCTCCTAATCACTGCTGAACAGTCCACGTTAAGCCTTACCGTTGACGCGTCTTCCAACTTTCTTTTGTTAGTGAGTAAATCCTTCATGAACTTGGCATACTTCGGCATCTGTGCTAGTGCATCTACGAATGGAATGTTGAGCTGGACTTGTTTCATGAGTTTCAGAAAATGACCAAACTGGTCACTATCATTCTTCCTAGTCAATCGCGCCGGATAGGGGAGAGGTGGGGTGTAATTCTTAACCGGAACGGGCTGTTTTGGTGCAGGCGCCACCTCTCGTCCCTCTTCTAACTCCTTTTCTTCCTCTAGGGCAGCCGGTACGTCATTAACTTCAACGGGCTTCTTTGCCATGGCAGCAGGTTCTAATTCTTTTCCACTCCTTAAGGTGACTGCATGAACATGTTCTCTTGGGTTTGGCTCGGTATTGCTAGGGAGGGATCCCAGAGGCCTCTCAGATAAAGCCCTTGAGATCTGTCCCAATTGAGTCTCCATGTTCTGCATCCTTGAGTCAGCCTGCTGCATCCTCAAATCTGTTTGTTGTTGAGATTGCATTTGTTGCTGCTGAATTTGCAGCAACTTCTTGAGTGTTTCCTCTATGCCAGAAAATCTTTGTTCTGTTTCTCTCTTAAAACTCTCTTGCACTGGCTGAGATGCTTGATGTTGATTAAAGTTCCTAGATTGCTGCTGAATTCCTTGCCCGTAATTTCCTTGCTGCTGCTGTCCGTAGGGCTGATTTTGGTAGCCCTGTCGCTGGTAATACATCGCGTCAACTTGCTCTACTCCAGGGGCTGCCAAGTGTGTCATCATAGTGCATTCATGAGGCGAATGGAGACCCCCACAAATGGTACAAGAGGGACTAATAGGACCGGGGGCTACCATATTAACACTAGGCACCGATAGAGCAAGATTCGTCTTCTTTTGATTATCCTCCACACTGGTAGCAAGCTTCTGAATCATGCTAGTCAAAGCATCTACCCTCGCAGAAAGGGCAGAATTATCACTGATCTCGTACAAGCCCGGGGCCTTCTGGTGAGGTGTGTCCCGAGAGCCATACCATGAAGCATTATTAGAAACTATTTTCTCCACTAATTCTTCCGCCACCTCAGATGGTAATTGAGGAAAAGCTCCTCCACCCGAAGCATCAAGCATCATCTTCCCTTCATCGCTGATTCCGCTGTAGAAACAAGATAGAATCTCACTATCAGTCATCTTGCCTTGAGGGCAAGCTCTTCTTAGCACTTTGAATCTCTTCCATGCCTCGGCCAATGTCTCCAAAGAACCTTGCTTGAAATCCTGCAGCTGCCTCTTCAACTTTATTGCCTTTGATGTCGGAAAATACTCCTTGATGAAGGACTTGTGCAACTGATCCCATGTCTGAATATGGTGATGTGGATTGCTATCCAACCACCTCTGCGCGTCATCCCTCAATGAGAAAGGGAACAATAGCATCCGTACCTGATCATCATCTAGCCCAGGGATCTTGAACGTTTGGCACATCCTCAGAAATTTTGTAATGTGTGCCACTGGATCTTCTGTAGGGTTCCCTCCAAACTGATTATTGGACACCATGTTGATCACCGCTGGGTTGATCTCATAGCGAGGTGCAGTAATTCCTTGCACTTGGATGCTGTCGTACTCTGTGATGTCCGGAGTGAGGAAATCTGCGATGGTCTCTCCTTGATAAAGCGGGTTGTTATGTGGGACATAGTTGTGGTAAGGAGGAGCTTGATATCTCGGGTGATGAACTGGTTGTGGTCTTATGGGTTGTGGACGGATGATATTTGGCTGAGGTTGGGTTTGATGGAATTGTTGATATTGGGGTTGGAAGGGCTGATTTTGTGGCTGAGTAGGGGGTGGATTTTGTGTGACTGGCGGTTGGTTCTGTCTGGGCTGAAAAACCGGATTATTTTGCCCTAGACCTTGCATCCCAAAGGTTTGGTTTTGAAAGGTGGGTTCGGGAGCAATGGAAGTGTTTTGAAAGAGCTGATAGAGTGGTGGAAGATTTAGTTGTGGAGTGGACTGATTTTGGTGGAAGAATGGGGTACGGAGATTTTGATACCCCGGATAAGCTCTTGGTGAATTTTCTTGTGAAGACTGGGGAGAGGTATTAACATAAAAATCCAGATTACCAGAAGTGGTTTGGACCTCAGACGTCCCAGCTATTCCAGATGCGGATGGTTGATCCATGGTTGCTTTCTGTTCTCTTAAGGCCTTGCGGTTCTGCTTAGCTAGCTTCTCGATCTCAGGATTAAGAGGGACTAGTGATTCTCCCTTCTTAGAGCGTGTATGCATAAACAGATCTGACCTGCAAGGTTAGTAGACAAAAATCCTACGAAAAACTAAAAACAAGTCGCTAAAATTAATTAATCCTTAAATCCGACACCGTCCCCGGCGACGGCGCCAAAAACTGATGCGTGTTTTCTCGCACTTAAAAAGGATGTAGTAAAGTGGTTGAAAGTACGAGTATCGTCTCCACAGGGACGGACAAAAGGGAATTAAAGATTAATTAAACTTTAGCGATTAAAAAGAAATAAATAAAATAAAAGTGCAATTGTGCGAGATTGATGGATTGATTAAACTAAAACTAATACTAATGAACGAATAAAAAGATTTGGTTTTCCTTAATTAACGACGAAGGGAACAGGAATTGATTCCGGGGTTAACCAGATTTCTGGCAGAACAGGCCTAATCACATGAATTTAATTTAATTGAGCCTAGCTAATCATTACTAAGTTCTTACCGCTCTCGCGGCGTAGAGTACAATAATTTAGGGGACCAGGCTGATCTCTCATGCGACAGGATCCCAAATTATTGCCAAGACAAGCGAGCTTACGGCCCCTTAATCGCTACTAATCTCTTAGCGAACGATTAAGTGTGTGTGAATGTGTCCTAGAACAAATTAGATCTCTCTTAATTCATTCTACATGCAATTGTAATTCTAGCTGCAGTCTAGGTTACAAAAGATATCAATTAAATTATTCAAACACAAATTAAACGACATTCATGCAATTAAACCGACAAGAATCTAGCCATCAATCATGATTAACCCCTTCATCAACCCCAAATCCCTAATTAAACTACTCACGCCTCATAATTGACGAATCAAAAGAATTTGGATGAATAGAAATAATTGTCATTAATTAAAGAATTGAACTTACAAAGAATCCCAGGTTCTTGGATTAAACAACGTAAAAACGCAGGTAAAACTCGTCCCTAGGCCTCTCTCCAAAGTTCGTAACCCCAAAAGTGGGTATGGAGGCCTTATTTATAGAAAACAGGAGAATTTGAGTTGAATTAGGACAAAACGGGGTCAGGCACGGTGCCAGGCACGATCGTGCCTGCGACCGTGCCTGCGGAAGGGACGCGTAAAAATTTTGCAGACACGATCGTGCCTGCACCGGACACGATCGTGTCTGGATGCCAGTGGCTCCGCGTTGATTAAGATGGCAGGCACGATCGTGCCTGACCTAGGCACGGCCGTGCCTGCCCTTTTCTTCACCATTTTTCTTCGTTTCTCGTTCCGAATGCTCCCGAATGCCTACGACGTCGATCCAAATGCTCTTTCTTCACCAGAATTTCGTCGTGAATCTCCCGGTGGCCTCCAAATCTTCCAAATCTCTCTCGAATGTCTTCAAACCCTTCCCGAATGCCTCTCAAGCGCCGATTGCCGGACTCTAACTTCTTCAAATCAACTCCAAATGCTATGAAACTCGATCCAACGCCTGTTAAACACAACTTGAGCCAAATTTGAGACTTGCAACGCCTTAAAGCCAGGAAAATCATCAAAATCCGACCTGAACACGCATCAAATGCGTGTCTAAATACGGACTTATCAAGGATCATGCCTATTAGTAGGTTCAAAAGCTTAGTAGAGAAAATGAATGAACCTCCACCATCTTCATCCATTGCTTCTGCCTCATCATCTTCAGATGATGCCCAACCACCATCAGATCCCAATTTACTTTTACTGGATGGAGAAGATGCAACATCATTCAATGCATTCCTTATAGCTTCAGCATGTATTGCATCCCCAGACTCATCACTTGAGCCAACCCTTATAGGAGACAAAGATCCTATAACAACCATAGACGGGCAACAAGCAACAGCATGATTCAGATAATGCCAATAAACAATAAATACGTCATAATACGCCAATAAGTACTACTCATGTCCCACAATTTTCTTCCACTATTCTATTTGGGATGCCACAAAATTTTCGCTCAAAATTTTCTTCCTGATTCTTTTTAAAGTATATTGTATGAAAGTGTTATCAATGGTGAATGGAGTAGTATGGTGGATTGACAAAATCAGCAATAAACAGCCACAAACTAATATTCTTGACAAGTTTCATATAGCAGACTGCCATATTTCCGCCATGATGCCGCCATTTGACACTATTGTATGGTTGATATTGTTTCCCCTCCTTTCACATCAATCACAATCATACAATTTCACTTTCTTAACAAGTGTGCTAATTCAAACCAGGAAGAAAATTATGGGCCAAGAGGAGCCACAAATCAATCCCTAAATGATTACACTTGCACCCAAATTATAGCAAAAGTGCTCACAAACACAAAAAAAAAGGGAAAAGAAAGCAAGAGGTGTATACCATCATCATCAATTATACGGTGATATGGTGTCTTTGGCTCAGCTATTTTCTATCTTACAGGTTTGTTTGCATCAATTTCTCCCAGATTATGCTCATCCCATCTTACTTGACGCCTAACAAACCAAAGGAAAAAAGCATAGAACATATATCAGTAAACGGGCAGAATTAAATATGGTTTTATTTGAAAAAGAAACATTAAAGTCAATATAATGATAAACCAAAGGCATAAAGTACTACTGCTTCATTTCTGCCGCTCAATCAAGTTCCTTAAATCCTTAATTTAGGAGGTTCTTGCTGAAACATGGAAAAATAGACAGGGAAATATCAGAGAAGTAAAGAAAACAAAATATTATAAAAATAGTTTTAGAATCTAATAAGTAATAATTCAAAAAGTGCAAACTTCAGCCTACTGCAAAGCATTCAATACCAAACATTTCAAAGTTGAAGTGCGATGAAACTAGCTAAATTATTCCAATGGTGAAGATCATCACAAGGGAGATTCAAAATACACGTGAAAGGCATAGATAAAGCTATAAATAAGGGCACGTGCACCTGCAATTTTTCTGTTCTTTTTCTCCTAAAGATAAAACTAAAACTCCCATAACCTATTAAATCTACTAATGTATAAAAGAAAAATATTTCTTGCTAAGGAAGTTGTCCCCAAAAAAGGTACACCCTAAGAATTGAAGTGTCAGTATATCAAGAAGCATGACACAAAATACAGCTCACGTGAATTATACCAAGTATAATACAACATGCTAGCACAACAAAGTTCATTTTCTCAGAGTGATTAATGTTAAAACAAAATTTGATTTTTATTATAAAAACAGAGATAAGGGTGTATAGTGGAATTGTGTGTGAGAAAATAAAAGAAATTAAAACAAAACAAAAATTTAAAGCATAATTTATATGTAAAAACATCATTTTATAGTGGAAAAGTCCAACATTTAACAAAAAGATTCAGTCCTAAAGTCCCCTCGGACCTCGGTACATGGGCATGAAAAACAAATGTTTCACACTTTCTTGGCAACAAACTGCATAAAGGAGGCTATATAATAATCCATATTATATAGCCTCCAATCCTGTGCAGAATCAATATTTTTTATTAAACAGAACATGCATATGTGTTTATAGCCTCCAATCTTGCCAAAGTTATAGCCAACACTGTCTGGACGCTTCATATTTTAAGAAAGCACAGTTTACAAGACTATAAGACAACACTCAGACTTAGAGTTGAAGCTCAGCTATAAGAAACTATGGCACAGCTACATATTTTTAAGTGAGTGTATGATTGTGATGTTTAAGATATTCATAAATGAATAGATCAATAAGAAAATAATGTATGTTCTCATTATAGATGGCCGATAATAGCAATATCTCAAAGTTTCAAACTTGGAGCTGAATTCATATAACATTGAAAGAATAAGATGGAGTATGCGCGTCTTACAGTTTTAGGTCTGAAGCGCCAAGTGAAGAAGCTGAGAGGAGCGAGACCACAAGGGAGCAGGCATGAACAAACGATCGAAGGGAAAAAAGTAGGGTTTACTTTTGTTATTTTTGGATTAGATAAAAATATAAAATACGAATAGTCCATGTGGATAAAATGTGAGTATGTAGCTATGAATACAATTATTGTCACTTATAATTATTACTTCTTTTAAGATTGTCATATTTTATCTTTTCGGTTCCACTAAGATTGTTTCATATCAATTTGATAAAGTTTATGTGGCCCTAAATTATTCTTACTTTATTCTTACTTTATCAATTCAATATCAGCCACATAAACCACTTTTTATTGGTTTGCGTGACACTCTCTCTTGTTCCATTGTTAGGATACGGAGAGAGTAATTAATACTTTTCTCAATCACATTTTAAAGAGTACTCGGTAATATTTATGTAAATATTTTGGAGTGTCAATTTTCCATTTTTGATATTTGATTTATCTCATTAATAATGTTTAACTCTAATATAATTACTCTTCCAATTAGGATTTTTGAATCTGCGCTCGACTCTCACTCTGTTTTTTCCTATATTGATTACTAGGTTTCAAGCCCGTGCGATGCACGGGTAGTACATAATTTAGTTAATTTTAAATTTGATATTTTCGAAATCATATATAATGGGATGCAAAAGAAAAATAAAAATCAATCTAAATATAGAGTTCGTTTGATAATACTCGTAGTAAAATTAGCGAAATCAGCTTATTTTACTGAAATTGATTAAATTCGGGTTGAATCACTTGAATGGGCTGAATAGGCAGAATCTCTCAAATCATGAAAAAAATTAAAAAAAAAATCACTTGTAAAATAAAGAGACAATTATATGGAAAATATTCAAAATGTTCTTTTACATAAGCATCTCAACTAAACACCATTGTGGTGAACCCAATTTTAAAGAATTGAGAGAGAAGTTTTTTAATTAATCTCATGTCTTCTAAATTATTTTATTATGCACCTCAATTTTTTTTCATATTCCTCATTGAACTTGGTATGAACTGTGGAGTATTTACTGTTAACTTTTAATAGTAAGATATTACATTTGACTCATTATTTCATCACATTGAAAATGTAAGAAATGGAGTGTTTTTACATTTTACTCATTATTTCGTCACATTTTTAATTGTTATGAACGTCTATATTACTTTAATGAGCATTTCAAAATAATATTTTTCTAATATTTCTCAATCAACTTGGTATGAAATACATATTTTTAAATTTTAATAGTGAGTTAGGTTCTTACATTTAACTCAATTTGGTACTCCGTAGTAAAAATAAAGAAATGAAACAATCCAACATATTGACTTTTGGTTAGACTAACCGTATTAACTTGTGAACACGCATATGCATGTATGATATCAACTTTCATCCTTATTAAATACTACTCCGTATGTAATAAAGATAAGCTACTTGATTAGAAGTATTCTCTTTATATGATTTTATATATGAATGTCTAATAGTACTAATTTCGCTTTTAATTTCAAAATTTCGGTGGTTATAATTTTCATCATTGTGTTAATAATTAAGAAAGCATTATACGAAGATGTAGAAAAATATGAAGTATTAACACAGTTTCAAATCTATAGCTTAAAATTTTAATCATGATCTCAACATTGAGTTTAGAAGAATAAAATATACGGAGTAACATTTTAGGAAACAGGACACTATTAATACTTTTATATATATATATAAAAATAATTTTGAAGACAAAATAAATAGCAATTTGGCTGATTTATCTATTTTTTTAAGGAACTGATTTATCTTAAGTGGGCAAAACAAAGATACTTTATTTCTTCAATAAAATGTAATAAAAAATAAGAAGTATAACAATAATCAAAAAAATTATACGTGCTTATAAAAGTACTTTATAAAAAGTACTTCGTATGATTGATTATTTAATAAGTGTGATTCCAATTAATGAATTTCATAATTATTAAATAGGTTTCGAAAAAGTTTCCAAATAAGGTGGATTTTTATCATAAAGTCTTTTGTTTCCATATCAATATGCAATCAAAAATAGAATCTAATAAAATAAAAAAAGATACGGGATATTAAAAAAATTAAATGATGGATGACATGGCATGATTAGGTGGCGCTTTATATGCTCTTAAAAAATTCCTCTTTTATATATATATATTGATTGATTGATTGAGCATTGTCAATGATATCCAATTTACATATGTTTACATATCGATTTCATAAAATATTACTTAACTTATATTATACATAGTAGATTTTTCTGAATATCATAAAATACATTTCAATTTCAACAAATTAAAATTGGACAAACGAATTTTCTTGTTTTTTTGTTGGTCAATAAAAAAATAAATAAATTTAAGTAAAACTCGATTATCATTTGATTCTCTTCTGAACATTCAAAAAAAACCTACTCCGTATTAATTGTTGAACTTCATTTGGGCCTACGAATCAATTTGTTCTATTCTAACAGTCCCAAATGCATTTGAAGCATTAGATTTACATAAACAAATTTTAATTTCATCACTATTAGGGGTTGATGTCATCACAACGTCACTTGTCCATTTAATCCTTTTTTTTATTCGTATGGGAGTTAAGTGGGAATGGGGAAATACACTTTCCACTAGGGGTGGGATCGGGATGATCCCGATCCCGATTGCCCAAATCCCGATCATGTCCCGATCCCGATTCAAACTACAAGAGGATCCCGCATCCCGTCCCGATTAAGTCAGGATCCCGACATTAAAATCCCGATTAAGTCGGGATCCCGATCAGGAATCCCGCTTAATCACACTAAATCCCGACAATGAAGTATCAAACATAAAATCATGTACTTGTAATTTCTTTAGTTAAACACTAACTTTGATATTTAGTGGTTTCAAGATTATTCTTTGTTCATTGTTATATATACCACATTTATCATCATCTACTTATAAAATTTATTGTAATAATTATCATCTCAAATTCACACTTGTACATACTTGTAGAATAATTTTTATTTGTAACTTCAATTAATTAATAGTATAATTTTTGAATAAGCTATCAAGGCTTAGTGAAACTTACTTCGAACATTATACAAAAACCCCTAAAAGAAGGATGTGTAACATATATTATTTAAAATTCAAAACTAAGTAGACTCATTGAGAAACTTTGCGACCAATGAATATAATGTACAAATACATATTATGATTATTTACTAAAGAAAGAAATCTTAGTCTCGATCATGATTTTTTAAAGAGTTCATCAGAACCGCAAAATTTGTAATATTGTTGTGATTTAGATTGTCGGGATCAAGAATAATCTTTATTTAGTTAGGATCCCGAATATTCATTTTCGGACAAATGCCGAATAGTTTTAGAAGTTTGATATTGTGAGATACTCATAGTAAAAGATTAATCTATGTAAGGAATAAGTAATTAATAAAGATATGCAAATATTTAGATATATATTCATTTTTTATAAATGTATATTCATTTTTTATATATTCATATATAATTATATACATGTGTACACACACACATATATATAAATAATGTCGGGATGTCGGGATTTTCCCGATCCCAACTTTAAAAAACAATCCTGGTCCCGTCCCGACTAGTCGGAATTGGGATTGTCGGAATCGGGATCGGGAGTCAGGAGTTTTTTCCTAGCCCTACTTTCCACTCTGACTCTTCCATATATTCATTCTAAAATATTCGCATATACTCCCTCCGTCCCGAAAACAACTTCCCGGTTGGACTTTCACACACTTTTAGGAAATAAATTTGACTTTACTGTAGAATGCACTGTTTGGCACTGTTTAAACAATGTTTGGCACTGTTTAAACACTGTTTGGCACTGTTTAAACACTGTTTGGCACTGTTTAAACACTGTTTGACACTGTTTATCACTTTTTTGATGTAGATAATTTGCCAAATAAGAAAAGTATTGAAGTGTGAAGTTAATTTTGGGACATCCATTTAAGGAAAGTGAGAAGTTATTTTCGGGACGAGGGAGTACACATCGATAGAAGTCAATAATCCCATATTTAACATTTTTTACTCCTACCAATGGTCTAATTGAAGGATAACACCGTCATATTGGCTAAATTGTAGCACTACTGCGAATCTACAACACGAGTATGCCACCTCTATACCGCGTTTGATATCTAAAAAAATCCGCCATAGCACCTCCATGGTCGTTATTTGACAATATTGATTTGAAATGATATTAAAGGGAAAATGGAAATTAATAATCCAACTTTTTAGCAGTTTTCTTACAATAGTCTCACATTTTTGTTATTTATGAATAATCCAACTTTTGCACCTCATCTTCATTCACTGGTCCCTGACCGGTTGATGACCTACTATTTTAAGTTATTTTCTTATCTTTGCAAAATATTATCTTTGTGAAAGGTGAGATTTATGGTATAATGGTTTGTAAAGATAAGAAAATAATTTGGAATATCATGTCATCAACCGGTCAGGGACCAGTGAATGAAGATGAGGTGCAAAGGTTGGATTATTCATGAATAATGAAAAGGTGAGACTATTGTAAAAAGACCGCTAAAAGGTTGGATTATTAGTTTCCATTTTCCCTGATATTAAACCAAACTTTTCAGAATTGATTACTACGGAGTATAAAGAATCATTTTATCTTTTTTTCATAATTTTTTCTTTATTTTATACTACCTCCGTTCTTTTTTATTAGTCCTTCTTTCCTTTTTAGGACGTTTTTTTTATCTGTCCTCCTTTCCATTTAAGGAAAGTTTTTACTCTAAATATACCTTTATACCCCAACTTTTATTACAATTATCTCTTTCTTTTTCCTACTTTTTCATTTACCCACTACTCATTACACCTTTTACACTACCCCTACTATTTTCCTCTTAAAACCCGTGCCAAAGCCTAGGAGGACTAATATTAAAGAACGGAGGGAGTAAATAAAATATATTTTAATTTTTTTCATAATTGAGTAAAGCCAACCAATTCAGCCATTTCAACAAGAACTACATAAATTCTAACAAAATTAACCAATTCAGTCAATTTTAGTGCTACCAAATAGGGTCTAAATGTTTCTTTGGTTTATTTTTTATACATTCATAGTTAACTTCTAGGTGAATAACTCAAAACAATTGAAAGCAAAGCAGATGATAAACACCTTGTTGTGGATGAATATAGAGTTGGTTTAGCAAGAAAAAGGTCATAATGCACATTAGTATAAGGATTTTTCTTTTGGACTGTTTTTAGTCTTAGACCAGACCAGACCAGATTTGCGTAGTTATAAAATACACAGAGATCAGACGTTTACGAGACCAGACCGGCAAATTTCAGTCCAAAAAAACATCCTAATTATAAACTCTACTTTAAATCTATCAACTTTTGGTACCACATACGGAGTAATGAAGCTTATATACGTTATATTCACCTTTGATTCCCCCCCCCCCCCCCCGAAGTTCCACAAACACAAAAAGAACTTTTTCCCTAATTTTCCCTCTAATTTACATCTTACATCTTCATTAGAGAATGTTTAAAACAACAACGGCCTAACTACAGGGATGAATGAATGACAAAATATTACAAATGTTGACACATAGGAATGGGCCTTGTGCTTGTTTTGGAGCCAAATATAAGCCAACTGGTTTTATTTCAAAACCGAATCGGTTTCTATGCTATGGTTGAAGCAAATTCAAAAATTGATGATTCTGGTTTCTCCAAAATAACACCACATCGGACCAATTATGTTGTTAAACAGGCTAAAAAGCCGGACCAAGCTGCTAGACTATACAAAACGCATAACTGACCTTTCTCGGTCTGGATTTGGTCCTGCCCTACTGGCTACTAGATCGCGTCCATCTTTGCAAATTGGGTTTGCCCCTACTCCTTATGTATTATTCCTTATTACGAAGTATTATTTGTTGTCATGAGAGATTAAAGCATAGTTTTTGAGAGAAACATAATACTCCCTTCGTCCCCTTTTGAATGTCCCGTTTTACCATATTGAGATGTCCCTATTTAATTGTCTCATACCTTATTTGGTAAAGTTTGTGTGGCTCAAAATCATTCTTACTTTATTCTTACTTTATCAATTAATTTCAATCACATAAACTCACTTTTCTTAAAATTCGTGCCTCCCTCTTCCGTCCCAATAAAAAAGGGACGGAGGTAGTACATCATTAGTGGTGATTTTGATATATCTTTTGTGTTAAAAAGATGTAATGATGGGCAAAAATAGTATCATAGAAATTGATAATGAGGATGAGAAATCCAAAGAATGCCAACTTGTTTTGGTTCATCCGTTCATATAATAGAGCCAAAGAACATGAAGAAGTGGGGAACTGGGATACAAAACCATTATACTCATAGTAGAGATAACAAGTTGCGTGAGAGAAAAATGTCTCATTTACCTATCACAACTTCCAAGCACCTTGTTGGAATTAAAGTTGACCCTCCATTGGAATTGAATGTGAATAACCAACCACAAAGGATTAGCTGCTACAAGGTATAAGGATCCAACAAAAGCTTGCATGACTAATATTTCCACAATGGATGCCCTCACGAATGAAAATAAATAGGAAGGTGATTCTTTAATTTCCCTTTGTGAAAGCTTCACTCCCCCGAGTTATCATTATCTTTATGAAGGATATTTGGATCGATCCATGCATAGAATTCGCCATAAGAACTCTGACCCGTGAAATCCCATGCATAGGAGAAGAAGAGAAGAGAATGGAGGAGATGACCCCGGCCAAAGACCTCCTTTAGTTCATCTACCGGAAACTGCCATTTGTCTTCCTCTGTGGCAAAAATGGCATCATTTGGTAATGGTGGCCATGGTAGTAAGGTATGGGCAAAAGATTGATCCTTTCATCTAATTCGTTGTGAAGATCCTTACTGGAGAAATTTCAATATATAGTGCTGGTGTTCGTACACATGAGAATCCGTTAATATATACTACCTCCATCCTACTAACATTGGAATATGAAAAGGTGGTGCATTATTAAGAAAAGTGGATTAAATGGTTAATATTGATGAGATAAAATAAGAAGTGTAAGAATGATTTAGAACCATAAAACTTTACCTAATTGGTACGAGACAATCTTAACAGGAGGGAAGGAGTATTTAGCAGCCACAATAGGTTTCCTTCTCCTCCCCATCCTCCATACCACCAAAACAACTCGGTTACTAAAATGGTTCAAATTAAACGATATTATGAACTGTTGTTTCTTGAGCTGGTACCAAACTGTTGTTGTTACTAATAATTGGCTTGAGTGTTAGTTGTGTTTTGAACTATGTTAATTGATTGCAAGAGGGGAGTATTTTGAAGTGCACTCTCCTCAAAATCAAGAAATCATTGTTAGGCAGTTGACTGTGAAACTTGTGATTATTGTTTACTGTGGATAAAGTTCTTTTTTTGGGTGTTTGAATACTTTTACTCAAAATTTGAGGCAAGTAAGATCTAAACAACAATGTTCCATATTTCTTAAGACGTCATTTGAATGAGAGGTAGAAATAATTGAACGATTCACTTCTTTCTTAAAAAATAGAGAAAATTACTCATATAGGACCAAATCATAAAAATAATTCACAAATAGGACCTAAATTTTTCGGTAGTTTGACTAGGACTAAAAAACAGTGTGTTGACATTAATACCCTTAGGCCACCTCCAAGAGTTTACACCATTTTTACATTAAAATGGTGTAAACATCACGTCATCACATCATACAGTATTTTATCTCCAACAGTTTACACTATTTTTATCACCAAAAAGGAATATTCCCTTTTTATTCTTTTACCAACTTTTCACCATTCTAATATTTAAGATCTAATTATCATATATTTATACATTAGCCCCTCATTTAATATACATTTCACACATTATTTCACACATACAAACTAAAATGCACCATTTTAATATGTATTTTCACGCATTTCACTAATTATGTTTTAATTTTAATTATAATGGTGTTATTAATTGTAATTTTAATTATGTTATTTTCTTAAGTATCATTTGTATTCTGTTATTATGTTGTTTGGATTTGAAACTTTATTTATAATATTGTGTGATTTAAATTTTATTATATTTTTTTCTATCAAATTAATAATTTTAATTTGTTGTTCTATAAGGATGTTTTTACTTGGACTGTAATTTGTCTCAGTTAGATCAGACCGGATTAGATCAGACTTGGGTAGTTATAAAAATACAAAGAAATCAGACCAGACCACATCAGTTCAGATCAGACCAGACCAGATCAGAGCAGACCAACAAATTTCAGTCCAAGTAAAACATCCTAATTTGTTCTTTTAAAAATGGGTCAAAACTATAACAATCAAAACTTTGGGTCACATTTGAAAGGAAAAAAATACAAAAAGAAGATGGTGCTACATATGGGGTACGCCATATATGGCGTAAAGCCAATCCCTCTCCCCCAAAATGGTGAAATGGTGCAAAGAATGGTGTGGCTGTTGGAGCAATTTTTTGGCAAATCCACCATTTTGGTGTAGGATTTGGTGCTTGTTGGAGTTGCTCTTAATGAATCAAGGAACCGCATCTCCCCCACCTTCTGCCAGTTACGCCGTATTCGCGTGGTACACTTAATCGTATTCGCGCCTCAATTCATCAATACAACTGTTCGAAACTTTGAATAGATCGAAAAAAACTCTCATCGAGAAACCTAAAAATTCAAAGCTCTCAGCACGGACAATTCTCTTCGCCAAGCCATTAGAGTTGGAGAACAAAAGGTGAAAAAGAAGCATACAAAGCAGTGGAATACAAGCATAACACAAAACAAAGCATCATAACTGCGAAGTAAGAAGATACAATGGCGGATTCTGACTTCGTGTCAACTGGCCAAAAAATCAACTTTTGAAAATAAAAGATATATATAACAATATTTTGTGCATGCAATCATCAATAAATGTGACTACATATTTTTATTTCCAAAAGAAGGAGTGCTATGAAAATCACACAAATCATTATGCACTAATTCAAGCATGTTGGATTTTCTTTCAACATTTTGAAAAGAGTTTTTAGTGATTTTATTTAACATGCAAGTTCTACATTTTTCTATGTTAACATTAAAAGAATGAATTAATCCTACTTTAGACATGTCACTAAGTCTACAGTAATTAACATGACATAACCTATTGTGCCACAAAGAAGAATTACAAACCATATAAACAGAATTAATCACTTTATTTACAACACTTAGTTTAAACATGCCATTACAATAGAAGGCAAACGGATTAGTGATAGGGCAAAATAAAATCCGATTGAAGAAGGCATTAAGTTGTAAACGGATTAGTGATAGGGCAAAATAAAATCCACCTCATCAATTAACCTAGAGGCTTTAATTTTTTTCTTCCAACTCAATGTTGACCGGTTCCCCCTTTTTCGATTCAATCATCCCAGCTTTGAAATCCCCCCTTTCCCCAATCATTTTCTGAGATTTCTTCAATGTATTGAATCAAATGAGATCAGCTACCATTTGATAGGTGTGATAAAACAGAAGCTGGCAACATCCTACTCATCGTTTCAGATCTGCTTGGGAGCAAGAAACTGCAACAGTAACTTTCCCTATCACTGATCCGTTTGCCACCTAGGCGTTTTAAATGTTCTAATACACAGATGGACTCAATTAGCAATGATTATTTAGCGATTTCATGTACCTCTCAAACACACTTGCAAAATGATGTATTCTTTACTCCCCCGCTTACAATTTGATGTACTAAACCGACACTTTTCTCCATTTTATAATGAGCAAGTTACAACGGTTTTATAGGAAGAGCAATACTCCCTCAAATTCAAAATAATACATACTTATTTGTTTTTGAACTATTCCAAAATAGAGATAATATATATAATGCTTTCTTTTTTGGCAAACAATCTTACACCTCATTAATCTTATTACTTTACCCTTCTTTTTATTTAAACCTACAACTTACTCTGTCATTACAACTTTACTCACTTTTTCATTACTACATTAGTAAAATCGTAAAGGTAAAGGAAACTTTAAGATATTTTATCCCATTTTCTTATTTTAAATACTCAAACAAAGCATTACTATTAATTTGAAATGAATGGAGTATGTAATGATGATGATGATGATGATGATGAACCCAGTTAGGCCTGTTCACAAAGACCTTATGCTCCATAGAATTTTAATTTTCTCTATCAAATTAAATTCATATTTACATGCACTAGTGATCACAAAGGATATTTTCACTTGCATTAAAATCTCTCCAGAAAATTAATACCTCATTCTTCTCAAATTCAATAACCACGACATGTACAATCTCCAGCTGACTTGCACCGAATTAACTACTACCTCGATCTGCCTCATCATATGTCAACTTTCCATTTTTAGTCGTCCCAGAAAACTTTGTCATTTTCAATTAAAGTAATTAATGTGTGCATAAAGTTATTTCTCTCTCTTTACAAATATTTCAATTCACGCGGTTTTTACTTTACTCCGTATTATTTTACGTGCAAGTCAACTTTGACCAAATTTTGTGGAACGGTGGGAGTATGATTCAGCGACTTCCCAAGATATACCAGTTTGTCCTGAAATGATTTGTTTCGGTCAAAAGATCAAATATATGCAAGTATAGCATTATCGATCCTCTAAAAAAGAAAACAAATTGCTGTGGCTTGTGGATATTAAAGCATTAGTTGAAAATATTTTCTTAATTTCTTTTATGTAGCATAATTACATTATTTGTAGGTAGCAAAAAAAAAAGATTAGCAAAAGAAGAAGAAATGACTATAAATCAAAAGTTAAATCTGTGATGAAACAAAAATGCAATCCTAAACATACAGCTTCTCCATCACCAAAGCGTTGTCGAAGTACGATAGAGAAGAAACATCAAAATTTTGAAAACTTAAATTGGTCATGGCAAATAATTGAATGAAATCAACGAATTAATAAAGGTTAGGGATTTCCAAAACAAAAGATGGAACGTGTAGCTTCTGAATTTGGATCTGTAATGGTGATGAGATCTCCAAACGGAACTTGCATATTAGGAATTAATTAATGAATGATAAATGTGCGCAAAATGAAGTTAAGGTAAGCTGGGAGAGTGACGGACGTGCGATAGAACGAAAGAAAGCCGTGCGACGTTATTGCTAAAAATTTAACGGAGTCATACGGAACACGTGATAATAAGAATATAGTACAACATGTAAAAAAATAGTGTACAACTATTTGTTGCTTTAAGATACCACCAACATTTTTTTGTACCCAAAAAGCCCTTAACCTTTATTGTGCTTTATTATAAGATTTTAGATAGATAGATACTCCTTTAACACTATTTAAAAAATACACAGCATTTATTTATAAAATGTTCAAGGATCATTTAAATAAAAACATGAGATGTACTTTTTCAATAAATCTCCAACATTCAAACATAACTAACACTAAAGACTTACAAGTTTCAATAACAATTTGATACCCAATCGAAGAATTTTTTTTAGAGGTTCACAATATGGGGTGGTTTGAACATTATTTATTTAGTTAGTCACTCATTTGTTTTAACTTCGTCATGAGATCATTTTTTTGGTATCAGAACTGTCCCAAGCCAGGATAAAGGAGGAGCTAGGCTGCTGTGGTAGACGCGTGACAGCCAATAGTATTACTTGGTCACATCACATGACATGAATCGAAATATGAATAATTATGTATCGATTCATATTAGGCGACCTCAATATCTTTTGGGACTAAAACTTGGATGTTGTTGTTGTAGTAGTTACTCATCTGTTTTGGTGGTATGCGGAATGGGAGTCCTAGCTACTACAACTTTGAACATATACTAATGACTCATAAGTACAGAACATCAGCGCTATTGATTGTAATTTCTCCAAAAAGAATCTTCACGGTGAATTCGATGCATGGATCTGTTGTCCATACATTTCCAAATATATGGATCCATCCAAATATCATTCATTAGTAATGATAAAGATGACGATTCGGGGAAGAGAAGTTTTTCAAAGGGAAAAATTCACATTCTTCTTTCTTTTCATTCATGAGAGCATCCACTATATATGGAAATATATCAATCATGCAATCCTTTTTGGATCGTTCTTCCTTGAAGAAGTTAGGTCTTGACGATTATTCAGTATCAATTGCAATAAAGGGTCGACTTTAATGTCAACAAAGCACGTGAAAGTTCAGCTATATGATCTGCAACTTGTCATTCTGATAATTTTCCATCCTCATTATCTACTTCTATCATGCTATCATTATCCATTAGTGCATCTTTTTCACATGTTACGAACACTAAAAAAAATATCAAAATCAGCACTTAAATTGAGGGGATCCAGGATTTTGAGATG